TATTGGATATAGTACATTTCTCTCAACTACGGTTGATTTTATAATTTTGATCTTGTGGAGTTCAAGTATGGTTACTTCCCTGGTTGGGTAACCTGGGAAGTAACCAGGGCAATCAATGCTGGCAAACAGTATAGTCCAGTCCTCTCATACATCGCAGTCACAACCTCAAAAAACAGATCAGGCAAAAAGGGGGGAGGGAGGTACTAGTTTTCAGAAGTAGATATCTGGCCCCTGGTACAGGGCGAAGAGGTATTCTCATTTCCTCTCAACAACCTGCACAGTTAATCCTCTGAAGGATAAAGTAATCAATGCTGGCAGATTTTCCTCAGTCAACTATCCTGATATCTTCTTGATGTATTCTGTATTCACTTTGTATAAGGGACGCTGGACCCGTTTCAGCAAAAATCTTTGTTTTAATGGAGCACTATCGAATGAGCCACGTTATACCAGACAAATCTTAATATGGCTGACTCAGCATGATCCATGGGGATCATGGGGACTATTCCACGTTTCCCGTGGGTATAAAGTCTCCTTTCAAAAATCCCTGTTCTCGCAGTGTACTTAACAGTTTCCTGATGGGTGCATGCAACACCAATTATTTTCTTCTTTTGTACCTTCTGCTTTTACCACGCGATATTTGGGTACCTAGTGAAGAAGAGCCAGTGAAGAAAAGTCTTATTATACGATACGAGAGTAATTGACTATTTGAGTAATTAAATGACAAACAAGATATATAAGCTCCAAAGAATCATCATTCACAGGGATGAGATGATGAATTCTTTGTTGTAATTTGCTTGGAATATCTGAATCCATCCACAATCCGTATATGTAATTGACTAGCTTCAAGTATGGCCATGGAATTAGGGTTACTCATGCCACTACAAGTCCCTTGGCGAACCCTAGACCAAGTTCTTTCGTGCTTTTTTTCCCCCTAGGGAGATCCTAGCCTCATCATCATCATCATCCAAAATCCCCCCGGTTAATATTCTTTGAATCCTTGCGGAGGTTATTCGAACCCAGAGCATCTCCACAAATTTTCCAGTTTCCATCCTCAGTAGGTTTACCGCAACAGCCCCACCCTCCACTCGCCATACCTCTATCATCAACTGGATGAGTTTTTTATAGTTTCATAACAGGTGTTCTCATTCTTATCCACTTGCTCATCGATAGCCAAGCTGCTGAAAGACACCCAACTCGCTCAAAGAGAGCCCACCGCACAATGCGCACACTGCTTTGAGGCCATCACGCAGCGAACGTGAGCCGCAAAGTTGCCAACATATTATCAAGTTAACGACACCTGCTATAGCCATGACTTTCTTCATCAACTTCTTTTTCTTTTTTATTTGATTTATTTATTGATTTATTTTTACTATTTCTTTTCTCAAAATTCATGTTTATTTATTTTTAAAATTTAATTCCTCCGACCGCGTCCCCAGGGTCGGGACTTGAGGAGGTCAACACCTGCTATAGACATGGCTTTCTTACTTCTTCTTCTTCTTCTTCTTCTTCTTCTTCTTTCTTTTTATTAGTTTCTCTGTGTTTTGAATTCTTCCGTGCCAATCCCCGGGATCGGCACTTGAGGACGTGACAAGAGCATCCTCCTAAAGTGGGCCCTCGGTTGGAAGCTCCATCTATCGGTGGGGAGCATCGAACTGAGGACGAAGCTATGACTTTGTTCATGCGTTATCTACTCTTGTTTTGTTTTTGCACCTGCTCGAAACCCGGTCCACAGACTTGCTGAGACTCCTGAGAGTCGATGACGACAACAACAACGGTTACAACAACAACTACAATTCTAGCCTTGAAAAGACCATGTTGAGCAAAAAACAAAAGAAAAAGAAAACACGTGTGCCACAGAAGAGTCAGCAAGCCTGATGTTGTCCCCTTCTTTCCGGATGTTGTCCCCTTCTTTCCCGCCCGGAGGTGACTACTACTTTCATAAACTACTGTCCTAAAGTTGATAGGATTTCTTAGCGATGCTGGAGTCGCTGTGGACAGTGTGGAGTGTCCTCTTGGATACCTCAGTTTTGTTTCATTAAATTTTGCACATCGTGTCCTCCACGAGAGTAAGGCCTCACATAATGTGGCATTCTTTTTACATGAACGAGTTTCCCTTTCTTTCCCAATTTGACTCCAAAGCAATACCATACACAATACCATACACTGCATACAGTCCATACATGGTCCATTCTTTCCTTGCTTTGCTGACGTCTACTCTTTCTGTGCAGTCCCCTTCCGTTTTCTTTCTTTCCCCTTCTGCTCGTCCCTTTGTTTTGGGGGGGAGGGCGCGGTGGGGCGGGGTTCTCTCTCTCTCTCTCTCTCTCTCTCTCTCTCTCTCTCTCTCTCTCTCTCTCTCTCCCCCCCCTGAGCCTCTCTTGGCTTGTTCCCAATAGTCCTCGTCTACATCTCCCTCCCACGTCCAGAGTGCTTTTTAAAAAGCATGCCCACCCTGTTCTCCAGCTCATCACACGGTGTTAGGATGCAGATAGGCAGGGGAGGATATTTTGTATTTACACGCTAAGCAACCATATTAACTGACCAAGGTCCAAGGTCAAGCGAGGTAGGACTCCATGTACGATAAGATATGTCAGATATAAAGGCACCTGAAGAGAGGAAGAGGAAGAGCCGCCATGACCATGCGGCACATTGAATAGCTTTATCACAAAAGGAAAACGAAAAAGGAAAAAGAAAAGATCACCATTCACTTTGAAAAACAGCACATCATGTGAGGCTTTACTCTCGTGGGGGAAATAATGCGCAACAGCAAAATGCAGCAGCCTTCGAGACGTCGCAGCCCTCGCAGGAGACGCAGCTGCCTCAGCATCATCACCCTTCTGCCTCGTTCACTCAAAAAAGGACCTGTGGGTTTCTGCTACCTGAGCAGACTGCCAGCTTCGTCTCAGAAGTACGCCTTTGGCAATTCGGAGTCTGGACTGCGTGACTCGCTGTTTTTTCTTTTCCAGTTGTGCAGAACGAAACTGAGGCCGGGTCCTGAGAACATCCCGAACGAAAAAGGACACTGGAAGCACCACTCAGCTTCGCTTACAGGGGTCTGACCCCCCCCCCTCACACCATCTGCAGCTGGAACTTGAAACCGGGTCCATCATCCCATAGACCCTCTTGGAATCCCAGTCTCGGGGAGATCACACGGACAACAACAGCKDKCACTACCCAGCTTCGCTTACAGGGGTCTGACCCCCCCCCCCCCCCCYCCCCCYCCCCCYCMCMCCAWCTGCAGCTGGAAACCGGGCCCAACGTCCCCTAGACCCCCTTGGAATCGCAGTCTCGGGGAGATCACACGGACAACAACAGCTTTATAAAACAAGTTACTCACCAGAACTAAAGCGGCCCCGCAGACTCCGGCGCAGAGCACTGTGTCTAAAGGAAGACGACGCACCGGGAAATGACCCCAACTTCGGTCTCGTGATGAGATTAATAGCCAAGTTGAGCATGTTTTACCTTTTTGCTCTGGGACCGGTGTAACAGTTTCGCAGGGACCAGCACCACCATAAAATCTGGGCCCAGCGCTAAGTTCATGTGACCGGCCGAGTAACCCCAGGGCCACCAGTTGGCCCTGGGCCTAATTGCCAACCTTACTGCCTTAGCAGCCAGCAACTGAACCTGACAGTGTGCGGTTTGTTGCAGAGGAGAGAGTCTGAGGTTGAATCCTGTCAGAAGACAGAAGACCTGCCAGTGATCCTGTCAGAAGACAGAAGACCTGCCAGTGGTTGTTTGTTCAACTTTTCTTGACAATGTCTCTTCCAAATTTAATTTACCTTTTTTTCATGATGACCCGAAGGCAGACGAGAGCAACATAGTATCCCCAACCTCGAAGTAAGCTGCTGATGCCGAGGGTCCCATTCAACTTTTGGTCCCAGTACTTGCCAAATAATGAATTGTTTGGGCTCATGGCATCCGCGGATTCCGCGCCAAGTGCCGCGCCAAGTGCCAAGTGCCCGCCGGTTCATTTTCCAAATCTTGTGCCACGCCAAGTGCCAAGTGCCCGCCGGTTCATTTTCCAAATCAGATTCTTTAGAGTACTAGCAAATTGACCCAGTGTCGAGGAATCGACACAGTGACTTTGAATCTTCTGAGAGTTCGCTGATGCATTATGGACGCCGGGAAGCACACTTTTTGGAACATCGTGATCACGATCAATTAATATTTCACCTACTACCATGTTCACCCCACTGCAGTAGAATGCACACTCACTTTCCCTAATATTCTATAGAGGCTGAGGCTGAAAGATCGCCCAAGAATACACGTACGATGACTGCATACATTCTAGTTGGTCGCACTCGATTCTTAATAACCCCACAACTTGAATGCCCACATGCCCCCTTCAACTCATCAACCGTGAGCCATTCACTCACTCAGAGTCTCAGATACCTGCCAGTGCGTGAATGTTGAAACCTCCATCCATGATTGCAGGGATCGCTTTTCCATCAGCACAAGTTGGATGATGCTCAACTCAGAGTCTGTCTACTGTCCATCCTTCTCAGTTGCAGACTTGCTGGACCTTAACTGCTGTTCAAACAAATTCAGCTTTTTCTCCCCTACCTTCTTCACCCGAATACAACATACGGTCATTATAGCTGTATTTGGGGGAATTTTGGGGTATCTTTCCATCGAAATACAGCAAGAATGACCCTACCTTGTATTCGGGTGAAGAAGGTAGTAGGCCCCTACCTACAGATAGAGTAACTGCTCCAGTGTTGTCCCCCATATGTCGTACGGGGCGTCTCCGTACATGGCGTCTGGACGGACGGTCGTCAGGAACTGCTCCACACTCCCCTCCCCCCCACCCACTGCACTCCTCAGTCCTGACTCCTGACAGTGGGAAATCTAAGTGCACTCTTTCTCCCAATGCAGGCACTTCTAAGCCAAGTTGCAAAACTTCACCCAGCGCCACCGCGGCTGCCGCTACTACATCTGCAGACGATTCCCCTCTCACCATTTGCAGACCCCTGGACAGATCAAAGAGCGCTGCAACCCTACACATGTAATAGTACTCTTTATTAATAATGCCAATGTGCGCACTTCTATGCCAAGTTACACAAAGTTCATCTTCACAATCCACCACTACCACCACTACCACCACTACCACCACCACCCGCACCTCCACCGTCGCCACTGCCACTACATCTGTGGCCAATTCCCTCTCACCAATCCAATCGCAGACCGAGGATGGATCCCCTAGACTAAGTATCGCTCTGTATTCTATTCGCCGAATATCTTGCTTACATTACGAGCACGCTAAAAATTGCACAAAATGCCCAGATACTAGGTACTAAGTTGGATCCCCTAGGTACTTTGTTCCAGACGTGACTAACGCAGCTGCAGCTGCAGATACTGCTGTTGGGCGAGTTTGCCAAAAATTTAATGCCCAATTCATATTCCGTCTCCAAAACAGAATGGCCTACTTCAGTCATCAGCCATTCCCGCAGAGGACTTCGATCTAGTACCTCTGTGGCCGACCCTGCTGCCCATGGCACAAATTTAATCAAAGTCACGCCCTGCCTACCGTACTACTCTGCCGATACTGCAGCCCATGGCACGAATTGAATCTACCTCCTGCCCAAAAAAAAAAAAAAAAAAAAAACGAAAAAGGAATCTACCTACTGACTCCTACATACTGCAGCTGCCAAGGGTTGATTTCATTCCCATTCCCCCCCCCCTCTCCCTCCCCCCACGTATTTTGGACTCGAATGTCCTTCCACACTCCTCTCCATTGAGTTCCCCAGGCCCATGCACTCCTGCACGACATCTTACAAAGTTACCCTTCAAGTAGGAAACCATCACCATCTCTAGGTCTTCAGGGAAAATGACACCAGGCGGCAAGGGTACGACGTGGCTACGCCACTACGGATAGACTCTGTTGCGGTTGCCAATGGATGGATCAATCTTCGATCCCGAGGGCCGCGCCAAACCAGTACACCACAGGTACTAAACGGAAGTGCGCCCTCCTTGCAGGATTTACCAGAACCTGTGCGAAACGTAAATGGCCCTGCCTCAGTCTCCGGGTCGGTTGGGCGTATCACGAAGGCCCCTTTTTCCTTAAGCTCCATATGGTCTCCTGGCGCACCCCCTGTTCTCTTATCTGTAGCCGTCTCAGGATGCACACTCAGGCTATCAGCCTATCACATCCAATTCGCTGTGTGTACTATGCAATGCCATTCGTAAACCATTGCGGATGATGCGCATGAACTGACTCGTTGAGAGACAACCCTTTGACGAACCTTCAGAAGGAATTCCAAGAGCATCAACATGAACTGAGTTCCGTAAATGACAAGTGTCTTCTGTTGCACTCTTTTCTTCTCCGCCAGACCCACCATTCTTTGACTTGGGAAAACACACTGCTGTGCAAGAACCTTCAGAAGAATTCCATGAGCATCAACATGAACTGAGTTCCGTAAATGACAAG